AACGGATATACTCGTGCAAACATACTCAGACCTAACGTCAATGATATTGTTAAATCCGAGACCGTCTCAAGCTCACATTTACTGGTCTTCACACCATGTGGTTAGGCACGGAAGTGCAATACACGGCTCTTAGCCTTATTCGCGACTCGATCCTAGATAGGGTTTGAGTTCGACTCATGACTGAGTCTCTCGTGAATAGTCATTTGAGACAGGGTTCTCAATGACCGCTCTAGTCATACTAGGTTGATGATGAAACATCGCTCTAGATATTTAGCCAGCGTGGAGTACTTCACGCTACTAGATCCATGCTAGCAAACCTTCCACGCGTTCCGTTTTAGGATCGTGGAGAACGTAGGATTCTACCGCAACCTACTCTATCACACTTTATAGTCTCCCGCGGGAGGCCAGATCTACGATCCCTTGATGATGATTCTCTCGTTGATTAGTTTTCACAGCTTCTAATCTCTCTCTCTAACTTTCATTCTCTCAAACTCAAAACACTCGAAAGATCTTTACACTAGCTTTTAGCGTAGTGCATTTTGTTAACAAACACAATAGCTTTCAGCTACCCTAATCTATTCCTTCACCATGAAGATGGCTCAAAGAAAACATGCTTCAGCAACTTCGAGAAACAGTGCGTGACAAACCCATTCTTCCTCTCGTCGACAATGACGAAGACACCGAGATCGACGATACTCGTGCAACCACTGCAAACTTCGCAACCATGTTGCCAAGCGCAAATCAGAAGACTCTGATAATGAGGACAACTCCTCTATCGATTTCAATCATTGGATGGAGAAATCTCTACTGAGGATAGGCCAGGATATGACTCAACGAACCATGTTCCGATTTCCATACCAAGTGATGAAATATTCACTAACTAGTAAACAAGAATGTTTGCAACCGATGAACTCTACGGCAAATTAGATGATTGCCTAGAAGCTGCCTAACTAGACTCTGATGATCTATTTAGCATCGTTAACCTCGTCCGTGCCAACCACCTCGTAAACGTCGAAGACAAGAGACCTCAACCATCGTCTATGTTAGATTTAACAAGCGAGAAAAAGGGAAACCAAAACCCATTACACTCCGTTGCTTACTGGATACAGGAGCATCCGGAACTTTGATTGCTCAACTCATGCTAAGAAATTACGCATGAGGGATCTTGGGGCGTCCAACAATGTGGACTACCCCTGCAGGAGAATTAAACAGCACGAAGTGCAAGGGTGCATTCATGATTCCTGAATTCCAACGATGATAGAATTATCGAATGGAATTTAAACGTCACCAAGAGCTTGGGGCGTATGACATATCATAGGTCGAGACATTCTCTACTTAGGATTTAAGTTCGATTTCACTACACATGTCAGTGGAGTGGACGGCATATCTATTCCTTTGAAAGATAGCGACACCAATGAAGAAGAGAATTTCTTCATTCCTGATCCTACTGCCGTTGACGACAGTGCAGATCGTCTCAAGAAGATTCTTGATGCGAAATAGAACAAGCTGATTAAGGCAGGTTTGCCAAAGTCAAGATCGTTAAACACGGAAGAGAAGGAACAGCTTCATTCCTTACTGACAAGTACTCTGACCTATTCGATGGTACTTTAGAAAGTGGCAGATGGACGACACAAAGTAGAAACTTCTCCCTGATGCTAAACCCATCATGCCAGGCTTATCCTATTCCACGGTCATACCAACACTCTAAAATGGGAGTTGAACGTCTCTGCGAGGCAGGAGAACTCAAGAAGGTAAACCGTTCCGAGTGGGCGGCCAACCTTCATCATTCCCAAGAAGATGGATCTGTACGATTCATCTCTGATTTCGGGAACTGAACAAAAGGATAAAGCGAAAGCCTTATCCTATCCCAAAAAACAGGACATGCTCTTGAACCTAGACGGATTCAAGTACGCCCCTAGTCTAGACCTGAACATGGGATACATCACATCGCTGTCACCTCACTCGAAACAACTCTGTACTATCGTACTCCGTGGGGAAAGTAAAATACCAGAGGTTGCCAATGGGCCTATGTAATAGTCCCGACATCTTCCAAGAGAAGATGGGAACACTAATGCACGACCTAGAATACGTCCGTGCATACATTGATGATCTACTCATCCTAACAACGGCGATCTGCAGATCACGTTGAAAAGTTGGATGAAGTCTCCGAAGGCTTCGAGAAGCGGACTTAAGATCAATGCTACCAAGTCCTTCTTCGCAAGAGGAGAACTTGATATTATAGGTTACTGGATTACTCGGAAGGGATCCAACCTATAACCAAGAAAATAGACGCATCCAGAATATTGCTCCCCCTACTAACAGAAAAGAACTCCGTAGATTCATTGGACTAGTGAACTACTTTCGAGACATTGGATTAGACGATACATGTACTGGCTCCACTCCTTCATTGATTTCCAAAACAACGAAGTGGAAATGGGAAGCCGAACACGACAAAGCCTTTAGCCAGATGAAGAAGATCATCAGCAAAGAAACCTTGCTCGCTTACCCTAACTTCAAGATACATTCGTTATCCAACGGATGGAGTGATACTACAACTAGGTGCGAAATTTCCCAGAAGGGAAAAACCTATAGCGTTCTACAGCAGGAAAGCTCAACCCTGCTCAGACACACTACACGTTACCGAGAAGAACTTCTCAGTATCGTAGAAACTCTGAAAGAGTTCCGTAACATCTTCTAGGACAGAAGATTGTCGTACATACGGACCACAAGAATCTTACATGTAAGAACTTCAATACCGATCGCGTAATGCTGGCGCCTTATTCTGAAGAATACGGCCCTGAACTACGGTACATCAAGGGCGAACACAACATGTCGCTGATGCGTTGTCGAGACTTAACATCTCCAACAATGATGGTTCTTCAGACAAATGGAAGCCAGCGAGATGCTGAGTCATGGCTGCAGACGAAGAGGACTTCCCTAGCGAGTTCCCTCTCTCGTTCCCCGAGATCGAACATCGTCAGAAGGACGACAACGATATCAAGAAACTCCTCAGAGACAACCAAACGACTACAAGAAAAATCTTTCCCCAGAGGGATAAGTCTTACGACTTAGTAGTCAAGACGACAAGATCGTCGTACTAAGACTATGCAGAAGAAGCTAGTGAATGGTACCAGGTGTACTGATGCATCCTGGCGAGACTCGCACAAAACTGACCATCAGCCAACACTACCTGGAAAGGACTGCGCAGACTGTGCAGGCCGTATGTCAGTGTTGCCAGAGCTGCCAGATGAACAAACCAAAACGCGTAAGCTGGGATTGATGCCTCCAAAAACTTGCGAGGAGATCCCTTGGGAAAGACTATGTATTACCTGATAGGTCCTACAAGTGGGGATCCTAAGAAAAAGAATTCCTGCACACTCATGCTTGACAATGATTGATCCCGTAACCGGATGGTTCGAGATTGCGAGATCTGCTCCAAGGCAGCAGAAAAGTAGCCATCGTCCTAGAACAAATGGGCTTACTCGGTATCCATGGCCTGCTGAGGTTATCATGATAGAGGACTGAGTTCCGCGAGAGGTCGAAAAGACTCTGGGATGAATATGGACTTCGTCGCAAGTTCATCACTACGCGTAACCCTCAAGCCAACTCTATGGTCGAGCGTGTCATCAGACCAACGCAACTTGATCGCTGTTCAAAACATCAAGTGCCAAGAGACCTCGTGAAGGATCCTGGATGGAGTCCTCACGGCGGTTCGCTTTGCAATGAACGCCACGATTCATACCCCTTGCGTGCAAGCCGCACAGCTCGTGTTCAATCGTGACGCGATTCACACGTCCGTTTCGAAGCCAACTGGAAGTACATCAAGGAACATCGCCACGACTAATCCAACAAAACAACGATAGGGAAAACGCGACGCGTGTCCCTCATCAATACAATGTCAACGATACGTGATGATTCAACAGTATCAGCACCAAAGTACGGCAGCCAAAGTACAAAGGTCCTTACACTATAGACGAGTCAATGACAATGGCACGTACGGCTCGACATGCTACCGCCAAGGCACAGTCTACCAGACTTGGAACATAAGGTATATACACCCTACAAGGCCTGATCCCCTTGTAGGATTGCCATCGTGCGATGCACATGTCTACATCCAAATCTCATGAGAGTGCCCCGCACTTTAAATCATATGTTCTCCTTGTCCGACTGCTGTCGTGCCTTCTGTGACCTTGTCAGGGGGCGAATGCAATACACGGCTCTTAGCCTTATTCGCGACTCGATCCTAGATAGGGTTTGAGTTCGACTCATGACTGAGTCTCTCGTGAATAGTCATTTGAGACAGGGTTCTCAATGACCGCTCTAGTCATACTAGGTTGATGATGAAACATCGCTCTAGATATTTAGCCAGCATGGAGTACTTCCACGCTACTAGATCCATGCTAGACAAACCTTCCACGCGTTCCGTTTTAGTCGTGGAGATACGTAGGTTACTACCGCAACCTACTCATCACACTTTATAGTCTCCCGCGGAGGCCAGATCTACGATCCCTTGATGATGATCTCTCTCGTTGATTAGTTTTCATAGCTTTCTAATCTCTCTCATAACTTTCATTCTCTCAAACTCAAAACACTCGAAAGATCTTTACACTAGCTTTTAGCGTAGTGCAGAAGCTCTAAAAGGGCGGCGAGAACACAGCTGAACTTGGGAAGTACGGTACTTAGTTTATTGGAGTGGATTTTACCTGTTTTCTGGAAAGAGCATCGACTCTGGAAAATTCACGTCCGACCAAGAGCGAATACTAGAGTAGTAGCTTTCGAGCCGAAGGAAAACTCACCAAAGGTGGCTCTGAAGTTTGGTGATTCCTTTGGATTTTAAACCCAGCTACTCAGGACAGTCCCAGAGAGGTTGCTGTGAGCAAAAGTCAAGTGCCTGAAAGAGGTCAACATTCCGAGTTCGGGCAGGCACGAGTTCATGTTTCTCGTGGACCGCCAAGTCAACTGCTCAAACTAACCTCAGAATAGACGCTGCGTTCTTGCCATCATGCACACTTACAGACACAATCTGATGGGCAAGGATCCATCGTTTCGCAATCGATCGTCACTTCCACTGGCTTTTCTTCGCGGAGCGTCAGTTGACACAGGCTCCTCGGTACAGTTCCAGACAAACCATAGCCCAACCCCAGTTTGTGCAAACTGGTGCATAAACCCAGCTCACTCGGGACAGTCCCGGAGAGGTTGCTGCGAGCAAAAGTCAAGTGCCCCACGGTGGTCAGCATGCCCAGTTCCGAGGGCAACGTTCCCGACAAGTTCATGTTTCTCATGGACAGTGAAGTCAATTGTTGCAGAAAACCAAACTCGGTCGGCACGGTACCAGTGAACGGGTTCGTATGAAATCGAAAGTTGAAAAGTTTGGTCAGCGACCCTAGCTCTGTTGGCAACGTGCCCGTGAGCATATTCTGATGGCCGCGAAAGAAATTGAGATCCGTCAGCAATCCTAGTTCGGTGGGAAGTGTGCCCGTGAGAGAGCATTCGTCCAAGTAAAGTGTCTGGAGGCCTGCCATCATGGACAATCGTGTTGAGATGGTCCCCGTCAACTGCGCATTGTGATTGATTCCCAATATTTGCAGATTGGTGTTCCCGACAAATTTTGGATCGTCGGTGGGGAGTGTCCCCTTGAATTTGTTCCTGTTGAGTTCCAAAACTCGTAGGTTGCTCATGGACGGTGTCATGGCAGTGGACAAGAACTCGGGATGGATGGTTCCAGTGAGCTGGTTGTTTTTAAGGATGAGCGATGTCAATTGTGTCATGTTCTCGACCACAAATCGTGGCAAGGTTCCCGTAATTTGATTCTCTTCCAACGATAGGACCTGGAGCAACGGTAGATTTGAAAGTTTCGACGTGAGAATATCGTCCAAGTTTCCTTGTAGCAACAAGTAGTTGGCAGCAAAGCTTTGCAAGGATGTCAAAAGTTCAATTTCGGGAGGCATGGATCCCACCACTTCCATTGGGGACGTGGTCAAATGGAATGAAACGACTTTTCCCTCTTCATTGCAAGTGACACTGCTCCATGTACATTCGGGAACGGACGCGTGGAACGAATCGGCTGTTGTTCGCAAAATGTCAGGTTGAGTGATCCCCTCAAAGGAATAGTAGAGACACGCCAGAACAAACAACTGATCTCGTCTCCAAAATGGCATTTCCTGTAGAGATTCCTCTCCGTAATGGCGCATAAGCCAATCATGTGCTCTCGCTTGGGCCGAATCGGGATTCTCCTCGATGGACATGAGCGTGTACGGTGGCAATGAATACGGTGGCATTGTTGTTGGTGTTGTTGGTACCGGTGTGCTTGTACTACTAGATTCTTCCATGAGAGTTTCGTCGCCGTCTGCACTGCACACATTGCCACTTCCACACACAATCCCCGTGAAGGCCAATGCGATAAGGATCGCCACGGGGACCAAACACAACATTCTTCCCTGCAGAGAAGCCGTCTTCCAACGATTGAGCCACGTGTTGGTCTCGACAATGACGGCTTGTGGAATCATACTGTTGTTGCTACCAGTACGAACTGTCACCTGAGCTCGTTCTTCGTCATTGTTGGTATTCGGTTGGAAATGTCCGGATGCTACCAGGGTCGCTTCAATCAAAGGCACATCATCTTCGGGAACCGCAGCGTCACCGCGATTGCTACTAAAGCTGCTGCCTTGTTCGCGATCATGGGACATACCCTGTATTGGATACGCACCGGGTACTTGATTGCCTCGATTACAAGCCTGACGAGCACCGTGTCGCGACAAGGATGGTGGCATTATTCCTTCTTCTTCCTCTGGCATGCGCTGAATACCATTCAAGACGGAATCGTTGCTTTCCGCCCGCTCGACGGGAGTTTCGTCGGCAGGGAGACCTTGGTGGGCAGGTGGAACTTCGTGGGCACCCGGGGCTTGCGGAGGACCTGCGCGGTTTGGCGCCTGAAGAAATCGAAGACAATATTGCTGCGCGAAATTTGGATCGAGCTTGAGCTGTTGACGGACCATGTCCGATTTGATGTTGGTGTCGGACGAGATGGGGATCATTGCTACTGCCGCTTGTTTCGCTTCGGCGACGGCGTCTACGGGTACAACAGCTGAGCTGGTTGTCCCTGGCGTTTCTGCCGTCGCTTCGGGTGGTTTCTTGTCAGTTGGGACCTCGTCGTCACCTTTATCCCGATCATCTGCTTCAGCGTGTCCCTCTCTTTGATGATCACGGGAGCCACTGCAATGCTGCTGCTGGTCCACGTGGTTTTCACGTGCCATGGGGCTTTCGTCGCGGCAGAGCTCAGAATCCGCATCCTCTGCTGACACTCCACGGCCGAGAAATCCGTCGAAGGGTGGCGACACCATCTATCCGATATTTCTTTCTCAGCAAGACTTTTTTTTAGTACGGTACCGGTGCCAATGGATAATGTCGACTTCCCACGGCTTGCTTCTTTGGCAACAACTCAATTGTAGAAGACTGGAAGGATCTGATACCCTATAGATATCACTGTGTTCTGAGGTTGCAATTGAGGTTTCCTTTTTTCTGGATTTGGTGACTGGGTTTCTTTGAGGTTTGAGGTGCGCGCTCATTGCATACAGGAGTGGTACACCGGTACCGCCAGCGGTACGCTGTACATACATATACCAAACGGTACCGTAATGTTGATATTTGCAAGACTTTCCATTGAGGTGACTAAATGGGGTGAAATGAATCATAAATAAATCTTTTGTGTACCGGTGGACAAATGTACTACGGATATCTCAAAACTACGGTACCTATGCGCGATTGCTGAAAGTTTACAAGAGAAGACCGAAAACCGAGTGCTTGTGCGCATCCAACTTTGAAGCACAAAGATCCCACGCCCCCGGTTGAAAGAGGTTCTGGAATACGGAATACATTCGCCAGCGAAAGGAGATTGAAGATTCTTGCAAGAAAGCCAGTTCAGATGTACAGTAGGCTGGGGCTACAGTATGCTGCTGGGTTCATCGTGGTGCTGTTGCTAGCTAGGGAGTTCCTTGCTGTACTGTGATCTGATCTGTGTCTGGGGCAAGGAATACAATCAAGAGAACCACCATGAGGATCATTAGCAACCCTGGTACCACCAATTTCAGCGTAGCTTTGAGATTTTCGTTCTGCCTCCTAAATTCTGTTTCCTGGGCATCTCGATCACGCTGACTGACGGTTCCTAAGCGCTCTGCTGTTGGTAGATTTTGGATAGAAGGCTCAGCCACTGGGACAGCAACTGACAACCCAGATCCATCTAAACCTGAGCTTGATGTACCGGTACCGTCAAGTCCATCGTTTTTGCTCTTGAAGAACTTCATTGTAGCCATTCCAGACCTTCCCCGCCCCAAAAGTGAGAAGCGCAAAGTAAGCATGCGATGAAAGCTTGATCCTGGCGCCCCAGCATAGGCTCCAGGACGAATTGAACGGTTGACAGCCCTCTGGTTCGCTGCTGGCGAGGGCACAATTTCACCACCCTGGTGGTTTCCTTGACCCTTCTCAGTGTCAATGGTGCTCTGCTGTACTTCCTGCGGGTTCATCTTGGCTTCTCTTGCTCTGGCTTCTACAACCTTCAGGAGATGGAAGCTGCTTTCGTTGGTTCCACTTTTTGCGTCCGTCATGATGAAGGTACCCGTTTTAGCAGTGTTATTTGCACGGTGTTCACGACTTCGATCTGGTCTCTTTACGTGTGACGTTGTCTCAAGCTCCTGTTTTACATTGTTGGCAACGTGCTCAGATGCAGCTTGGGCACTCAGGCGCAATTCAACAAGTTTCAGTGGATCCAGCTCTTCGGCATGGTGTTCATCCTTGTCCTTCGCTGTGGCACTTTGCGTTTCTTTAGGCATCATACCGACTCCAATCTCATTGACAGGTGTTCTATCAGACGATTTGTGACAGCTTCTGCGTCTTTAATTTTGTGTGTGGCTGTCAACTTCCAGCTTGAATGAGCTCCAAAGTGGCGAAAATCCAGTCCAGCGGTGTCCGTGCTCATCGCAAGAAGGCTCTTCTGTCTCGCAGGCGTTGCTTTCTCGTGCGTGTTGGTTCTGGATTTTTTGGGGGTACAGAGTACTCCGGAGTAAGGCTTCCAACCTTGCAAACAAACGCTAATTGCATCTGGAAGGGAAGTTGTAGCTCTACGGAAGCCAGCAAGGGCCAGGTTTACTACTACTGTAGGCAAAGGAGAGGCCAAATTCGGGACTAGCTAGGTTCCGTGGGATCAGCGGGGTTGTTCTGGATCGATTTCAGGGACGAGGCAACAATCCGCGAATACCTGCTGTTGCTGGCTGCCAGTAATCTTAAATGATCCACCTACTCTAGCTAATAGACCGCCAGTTACTTAATTGAAAGGGTAAGACAAAATGTGGCGCTTCACACCGGATACGGCCCCGCACCCATATCGGCTCCCCACTCCCCACCATAGGAGCTACTATGCTAGCTAGCTAGAAGAAGAGAGTTCTAGAAACCAGCAAGGCCAGGCTTTAGCAACTTCATGGAGACCACCGGAGACCCAAATATTCGATGAACTGAACTTCAGCTCGCTTCCTGCCGTACGTGTACGGTACTACCATAGTTGAGCGGTGGTCGGTCGAGCAGTGACCCGCATCAGCGTGGTGGTGCAGCAAGCGAACCAAAGACAACACGTTTGAGGGGGAGATGGGCCGAAGACACTCGTTCAGGTAACTTTGATCAGAAGCACGAAGCAGTAGCCAATCATTCCATTCAGGTGGAAGTCCTCGCCGACTTCCAACATCCCCATACCCAAGCTAGAACAGTTGCACCATCCGCAGAGCTGGCCTACCCAAACTGAGCATTAGTAATGACTTATGCAGACAGGAAGTGCAATGATGAATAATACAACCGTCCAGTCATTTCAGGGGTCGGTTTGGTTCCCCTCAGTTTGGGTTATCTCTCTCAGCAGCTGACCATCTTCATTGGTAATCTCTCCCTCCAGTATGGGTGATGTTTCAAAGTCAGAACAGTTACACCAGTCACATCCACAGAGTTGGTCGCTGCAGTCAAAAGTAAGGTTGTTGGCGGAGCACAAACTCTCAGGGACAACGCCAGAAAGATCATTTCCGTGCAACAAGGCTTGACCATAAGGTGCAGGGAAACGAACATTGCCAAGCTCCAGGGGCACTGTCCCAGTCAAATCATTGTCATATAGCCAGAACTGAGACAAACCATGGGTAAGCTGTCCTAGCTCTGTAGGAATGGTTCCTGTCAGGTAATTGCTATGCAAGATAAACACGCCCACTTGCTCGTACATTCCAAATTCACTTGGGATTGTGCCCCACAAAGAACTCAAACCAAGCCACAAAGTAGACAACTTTGTTAGCAGACCAAGTTCTGTTGGAATCTAAAGGAAACAAGCAAACAAACAAACAAGCAATGGACTCAATGTTAAAAGAAGAAGTAACTTGACAGGATGGCACAAAATGACATACAGTTCCAGTAAAGGAGTTGTCCGACAGTGTCATGTGTTCGAGGGATGTCATGTTGGCAAGCCACCTGGGGACTGTTCCTGTAAGACCTGAGTTATGCAGGTGCAAATATACCATGTCTGTAAGAACTTCAAGCTCAGCTGGGATCTAAAGGAATCACAGAGAACAATGAGCACAGCCAGGACACATGCAAATAGACAAGCACCCCACCCACCAAACATCACTACACAAACTTACAGTGCCACTCAACAACAGCACAGCTAGATCTAACCCATCCAAGAAAGTCAATTGCCCAAGCTCGGTTGGAATGGTCCCTGTGAAGAAGTTCGTATCAAACCATATTCTCAGCAAATCAGTCAGCAAACCCAGTTCTGTTGGTATCTACAAGATAGAGCATCAGTATAGTGAGAACCAAATAATTGTACTCACACAAGACCAGCTCATCATGTACATACTGGTCCTGTCATCTGATTATCTACTAAAGCGATGTCTCTCATGGAGTGTGTAAGGGAAAACAGGGATGCTGGAATCTAGATGGGAACCATGGAAGTAGAAAGTCAAAGTGGTGATTTGAGAAAATGAGACATTGCAGAACAATCTTGTCAGGCATGTCATGGGTTGCGACTTACAGTGCCCGTCAAAGAGTTGGCGGCCAAGTAGATAGCTCTAAGTTTTGACAAACCTCCGAGTGCTTGAGGCATGGAGCCGTAAAGGCCACAACTGACCATGGAAATATATTCCAAACTGGGAAGGCCACATAGCTCTTCTGGGATGGTGCTGGTGAGGTTGAATCCATCCAATACCAAGCTCTTAAGTTCAGTAAGCAAGTAGAGCTCTGGTGGAATCCCTGATCCCATTAGGCCATTAAAGGACAGCCAGAAATGTTTCAGGATTCCATCTCCCTGATACAAGATGCCACCCTCTAGATTTCCAGGTACATCTTGCTCACAAGGGCTGATGTGATCCAGTGGGATGTGTATGCTGGCCGCAGAAGTGAAATACCATTGCTCCAAACTTGAATACCAAAGGCACTCATGAACACTGTGGTTCAGCCAATTGTCATCAAAGTACCATCGTTCTTCGCTGTTGGCAAAATAGAATGTTGCTAGCACAAACCGCTGTACTACTCTCTGTTCTGTGAGGTTGTGTAGGATATCAATCTCTTCCATGAGCCATGCAAATGCCCTTGACTGGGGTGATACTGGGTCCTCCTGAATTGTAGAGACTGTTGATTCAGGGAAACGTGACAGCAAGAAGTCTGAATAAGAAGTCGGTGCCTGAGATGGGTTGCTGCTGGGCAAGGCGGTTATTGGGACAAGATCATCTGCATTATCCTGTTTCTTTCCAGGTGTCGCAATGGCTACCAAAATGAGAATGATGGCCAACAAGACAATGACTCCCAAGAGCACCTTGGTTTTGAATTGCTTCATTCTTATTTCTCTGTTTCTGTTTTCATTTTCCGGACTGTAATCTTGAGCCTGGGGCAGATCCTTGAGCAGCCATTTCGTCTTCAACCAAGTTTGCCACAGCCAAACCACTATTGCCATTTTCTGGTTCAATTGCAGGTGTTGGAGTAGTCGCTGGCTCAATGTGCGTCTCTTCTGTTCCATAGTTTTCTTCTATTCCTTGAAAATTTCCTCCACTTGGGTAGGCTCCTGGTTGTACGTGGGGCATTCTGTTGGCAGAGCTCCGTTCCAATCGGGGCAACTGAACAATTCCACTATTGACATCATTTTGTACCATATCGACCCGAACTGCATTGGTGTCGAAGAGTCTAATTCTGTTGGCCTCACCAGTGCTTGAAATATCACTCACTTTGTGTTCTGGTGGTGGTTCTGTTGCTCAATGTTGTCTACAGCTGACACAGAATTTTCCCTTTCTGGAGTGGTAGTATTTTCACCTTGGTCGAGTCCTGAATCTTCGAGTCGGGCCTCCACTAGTTTGACTAGGTCGTGTGAGGATAAAGCTTCTTCCTCGTATCCATGTGTCTCTGTCACAGCTGAATGAGTCTGCGTGTCTTTGTTTGTTGGATGAAGATTTATTGTGTGCTCTTGCTCTGTTGGACTGGCATCGGAATCTTTTTGCCGTGCTTCCACAATTTTAGCTAAGTCCAGAGGATCCAATCCTTCTTCCATATTTTGGGGGGCTGTCTCCCTAGAGCTTCCCTTGGATGCTCTTGCTTCTTGTTCAAAAGCTAGTAGCTTTCGACATTCAGCCTCGCCGACTTCACAAATGCCACCAGAAACACTTATCCTGAGTGCCTTTTGGAAGACATCAAATTCTTGTGAAGGCGATTCTTTCAATGGCAGTGATTGGTGTGAGTCATTGAGGCCCCCATGTGCGCCGGTTGATGCTTCTGTATGACTTGTTGTCGGCTTTAGTTGGCTTCTCCTTCCTCAGCCGTGCCAGGACCAGTATCATTGGGCATCGGCATCGGCATGGCTGCTTCATGTTTGGTTGACTGCATGATTAAGTTTTCTTGATTAGCTATAGCACGAACCGATGTTTTGCTACTTTGCAGTTAGAGGGAACTATGGGCGGAGTGGATTGATGTCAGAGACCGGTGCAACGGCCCAAGCTGCCTGTGATTCCTCCAAAATAACTATCGCTCCGCCACAAGAAAATGCTGAGTGCAGGCGCTGGAATGTTTGTGCTTTGGATGCATGGACTCCACTTCCAACTGCATGGCACAAGTATAGTTCAAGATGACTTGCGAACTCTGAACACCCATTAGGAACGGCCACGAAGGGGGTTATGCCAGCGGTACCGGTACCAGTAGCCGTTCCAGGGCATGGTGAGTTTTGAGTTCGGTTATCACCAACTAAGTACGATTTTTCCTATACAAGACTAGTAAGAATGATCGACAGTACGTCAGCAAAAGTGTCGGTCAGACAGGAAAGAGAATTAGGCGAGGGTACCAGACATTAAATCGTCCAATGAGTACGTCGCATTCAAAATGCAAACCTGCTCACAATTTCGTTTCCGTAGAGGTTCGCGACATTGGGATCAAACAGTTCAAGCTATCACTACAACTACAAAACTATGAGGATCAATGCTAGTGGAGTCTTTTCAAAGTGGTTGCTAGATAAGAGCTTTTATCCCTACAATGAGTTAAGGGCTACCAGGTACAGCTTTGAGTGTAAGTATGTTTTGCTGGAAGCAGGAGAGGTCAATCATCCCAGTTTCAGGACCTTGAAATGTGTGGCAGTAAGTAGCTTTGACACCCCCAGCTTGGAACAACTCATTATGAGTGGAAATGCCAAGCCCATGACTCCTGTTATGAGTTGCATTCTTGATAGCATGGAGTGTTGGGGATATTACCACAGCATTGGATGGTACAGTGTTGTGCTTGACATGCTAGCAACCATGGTTGAAGAGGACCAACCTACAAGCAAGGAGAAGATGTACAAGCATTGCATTTACTGGAGAGTTAGAGACAAGGCCAATGCACATGAAACTTTTGAGTATGACTCTCTTGGCCATGATGCAGTGATGACTTACTGGTCTGACTGGTTTGACAGGACTTATCCAATTGTCAAAGTCTCCTTCAGGGTAATGACACTGATGAGTGAGGATTTTGTTAGTGACATCATTACCTACATTCAGACAAGGGGAATTGTTCCTTACCCTCCCAACATGGATGGATCTGACTCCACTACTAGCTCTGAAAATTGAGAGAGGAGAAAGAAAGAAGATTCTTTGTTGGTGTTTGTTATCCAAGAAGTCAACCAATAGCCAAAAAGTAAACAAGAAGTATAGTCAAACTTACCAGAACCAACCATCCACATTCCTTTGGCAATGTACAACTGTAGCATTGGCACAATCTGGGCCCATCTTGCCATCTTGATGGTGCTGCTTCAACTGAAAGCACTTGCCACAAAAGTCTCTCTTGCAGTGCACATTGCCTCTCTTGTCTATTCCACCCTTTCCTTCTTCCCAAGTGTGCTCTACCTTTCTCCAACCACAAACCTTGCAGAAAGTTCTGGATTTGAAAGTTTGCCTTTGTGGTCTTGGTGGTGGTGGCGCTGTGTTTGGCATGGCAAAAACAAAGGGAGCGGTAACTGTGCCTGCAATTGGATCAACAAAGCCAGTCACACCACCAAGAGTAACAGCTGGATTGACGGTGAGTGGATTGCCAAAAGGAACCTGCCCATGGACAATGTACCTTTGTGGTTGGACCAGCACTGGTGGTGGTCTTGCAGGTTGCTGGCGCCTTGACTGCCTCATTCGCTCATTCAACTCATCTTGGTGCGGATCAATCTCAGTTGGAGCAGCTCTTTGAACAGTTGCAAGCTCATTCAGTCTCTTAGCATAGTCAACAAGCTGCTGTCTGCTCTTTAGCCGTGTCATAACAAGATCAGTTTCACCATTGCTCCAGCGCTTGAATCTATCAGCAACATCATTATTCCATTTTCGCTGGAATGCGGCATAAGAGCGAGCACCAGTGGCAGCGATGCCAAAGTCAGCTTTCCAGTCATGGAACAAAGTGGACTCTGCTTTATCAACATCAGTCTCTGGTGAGTCGCTGTCGGGCATACGGAATGGAATCCAGGGCTTGTCATTGGTGAGGCGCTTGAATGCAGCCAGTGTTGACTCTCGAGAGTTGTCATTTTCTGGTAAGAGCTTATTGATCTCTTCTTGGATAGCGGCCTTGTGTTGGCGGTCAAACTCATTGGCGATGTTGTCGTTATCCAAAAGACCCATCTCTCTTGCTTGGTGGATATCAATGGTGGACGCTCCCTCTAAATCATCACTATCGAAGACAATTTCCACATCTGTTCCAATGCCTTCTTCCAGGTACTCGGCAAGATCGCTGTTGGCGATGTCGGGTTCAGATTCAGCTTGGGCAATAATGTCCTCATCGGATGTTGTCGCGTTATTATCCACTGGCTCATTGTTGGTGACTGGATTGGCAACTGGATGGACGTCTTCTGGAAACTTGTATTTAAACCCCATGTTTTCCTTTGGATGTCCGCCTGATGGGGCTGTTATGCTGGCAAAAGGAAGCTTCTGGAAACCCACGGACTTGGCATAGCTGTTGATTATAAGGAGCGTTTCCAGTTGTACAGTGCCATAGTCTTCACCACCAAGTCGCGTTATTGTCTTGGATTGGTTCTTTTCTTCGAAGAAGGACCAGAGCAATCTGTCGGCCTTGTTAATTCCTGTTTGTTAAATGCAACCAATGACATCAAACCGGTGAGTGTTTCAGTGGCCAAAAGTGAAGCGATGCCATTCAACTTACCAATCATGGTTGCAGTCAGTATCTTAGTGGCCAAATCCAAATTGTCCCGCTCATTTGTGTTGGTTCCCCTTGCGACATAAATAGTATCCTTCTTTTGGTTGTAGCGAAAGATGTTGATAATGCTGCGATCCGGGTCAGATAAACAACCTTTGTCACAATGAGAGAGCTGCTGCCGAATAACATCCTGCACTTTTGACTTGTCGGTGTCCTTCAGAAATCGCTTAGGTTTGGGGGAAGTGTCTTCCTCTTGCCAGGTTGATAACTTGTAGTCTGTTTCGGCATCCTTGGCTGTGAGGTACTTAAGTACTGCCTCAACGTTCTTTCTCAAAGTAGCACCATCAGGAATGGAGGCCTTGGCTTCTTTGAGTACCTCCTTAACAGATGGATCGCGACCTTTCTTTTTCTTCTGCTTTTCTTCTGCTCTCTCGTATTCATCCTGCCCCACTACGTAAATAGCTCTTGACATCAGCATCCTCACAATTCCGGCTTGCAGTGAGGAAGGCTCCTTCACGATGTCATTCCACCTCTTGAGCCAGTGAAAGGGGTCCAGTTTGATAAGCACAGAAGGGAAAATGCGCTGCAGGATGTTTCGGACGTTGCAACAATTGTCCACATACACCACTTTTACAGCTTCTTCCATTTCAATGTTGCTGTTGGTGGCGTCCTCCGTCTTCCTCTTGTTGTACCAATTCTTGTTAAGACGATTACGAAGCATGATGAGATCCTGTTCAATCTCGGAGAAGGACTCTGAGTGCATCAGTGCTTTCCACCATATAGTCATTCCATCTTCGTTCTGCACAGTGACAATACATTTGAAGGGAGCAAAGCTTTGACCTTGCTTGGTCCAGACACGCATTTTCTTGGCGATCTTGTAATTGGCATCCACCTTAATCAAGTTGGCACACAAACTTTGCATCTGTTCTTCTTGGAACTTCTTTCGATGAAGAAAGACATATGTTACAATGCAGTCGATTCTGTGCTTGCTGAGAAACCGTCCGTTGTAGCCTTGCTTGTCATCGAACTTAGAAAAATGGGGAACTTCAAGTTGTTCTTCTTCTTGATACTGTTGTTGCTGGACACCTTGGCGACGTGCAATTATTGGTTGTGCTCTAACTCTTCGCCTGTAAGGATTGATGCTGGGTTGATAATCTTCATACTTCTTGATTGCATCTTCCATCTCTGCTTTGGCTGTTGTTGCGTCGATTTCGAAGGCAACCACTACTGCGTCGAGCTGTTGGTAGTAGGAAGAAACCCAATTCTGCCACACTTTTAACTTCTGACGAATCTTCTTGTATTGACTCTCATTTGGATTGGCATCGCGAAGCTCGAATGCGCTCATGATGCCATTTTTTCCATCTCCTTTATCTTCACTGGACCAATTCCTGGGATTTTGTTGTCATCCCCAGTTTTGTTGTGATTTTTCTTATCACCCAACAAATCCTTCCATTTGACATCATTCGTCGCCCTGCTTCTGGCTAAAGACGCTCGGCGTTCAGCTTGTTGATGTGCTGAGACTTTTTCTACCTTGATTCGCTTGAGCTTTTCCTGCTGTGGGTCATCGTGGGCTTTGGGGAGCATGTCATCCAATCGCCGTTGCTTTGGATCAGATGGATTGATGGCAACTTTGTCATATCCTACGGCATTCAGGTACAGAGTCATATCAGAGTGGTATGCACTGTGGGCAAGTCTGCGGAGCCTCTTACCAATCAGCGCAGTGGATTCAGTTGTTGCTGACTCAACAATGTGTCGGTGCAATTCCTCATCAATAGCATAACCCCGACCAAGATAATAGTTGAACAAACCATGATACTATTTTGCATCCAGTCGCATTGAGTCTGTGTTGTAGCCAGCGAAGTGTTTGCTGCATCCTTCGCAGTAGTAGAGCATCGTATCAAGATACTTGTGCCGATGAAGCCCATACAGAATTTTGGGGGAATTTATCCATCTTCCTTTGGAAGCATCAACTCTATCATTTCGTTCACAGTGAGGGCATGTTGGAATGTGCCCTTGTATCAACAAATGTGGAACCCACATTGCTACTGGCTTTACATAGAAATTATCCACACATGTCTTTCGTTTTTTGCTAGAAAGTACTGAGCCATCATAGCGACTACCACTTGGTGTGAGGTCTTTCCAATCCAGCTTCAGGAATGCGGCAGGATCATCTTCAACAAGCTTCCTGATGGAATCAATATGCCTAGCTTGCGCAGGTCCAAACTGCTTTGACTTGATCCCCATGATGAAACTCAACAGAATGAACAACCACCAATCAGCGCCATTTTGCTCCACGATGTCATTGCTCCGAAACTTTGATTTCTTGTTCAAAATTTCGATAGGGTTGGAAATTGGCGGTTGGGCGACTAACAATTTTGGATCCACGAATCAGAAAATTCAGTACTATAGCCACAGGAAGTAGTTGCGGCCATGGCTAATTCCTTCGATTTGGGGGTGTTAGGACGCAAGAGAATTAATTGTATGGATGACTGGTTGCACACTTGCACGCCGGTCGTTTCAGTAAAAGTCAAAACCACAGGCGTGGGGTTCATTCTGAATGGTCTGTCCTCCCCCCCTCCGGATTTTCTCCTCCTGGTGGGGACCTTCGGTCGCGCAGACCCAGGGCATGCAGCCGTCGCAGTAGGCCACGGCCAGTGTGCGATCTTTCCTTGTCCGAGTCAGAACGAATCGAATCGAATCAACGAATACATGTAATTCAATTGAAACTCGTGCCCACGACGAATTGATTTAAAAAAACTTGGATAACCAAGTTCATCTCTTTGAAGCAATGACACCTGGCTTCCGTAGCTAATCCACCTGCTCTAAACCCCCTCCTTGAAATGCATCCATGGTATGGTTGTCCTCCAGGTCGAGTCGAGTCGCTCAAACCTTGATATCGTGACCTGATTCCTGGCTCGTCGCATGCTCGTTTCCCACTTCGCGGCCGCACGGAATAGAAATGCATCATCATTGCTGGAGCTGGCCAGCTAGTAGCTCTAGCTATGCACTCGTGAGTTCTCCAGCTCACTCGGTGCCAAAGACAGGCAACGCAGCCACGCAACGAAAGCTGACTTCTTGAATCCTTTCCTTGAAGCAATGATAAGCACAGTCCCGTCCTACGAAAGGTTCCACCAGGTAGCCTGATTGGCAATCGAATCATTCAACTTGTGCGTTAGGGCGTGGAGCCGATGGGATCAGATTCAAGGGAGGATCTTCAATTGCCGTATCTTGACCTTGTGAAATGGTGGACAAGGAAAACAACAAGCAAAACAATTCGCTTGGGACTATGCACTGGTATCTTTTAAAAGCCAAGGTGATCCCAGGAGCAACTGGTTGGTGGTGCAGAACAAGCAAGATGCTTTCTAGATCTGCAGTTCAGCAACCATGAGTCCGGTCTAGCGAAGGCACGGTAAATCCATTCTTGAGTCCGTTGCTTGGTCTGGCCAAGGGCTGTGGTTGCGATCCTGACAAGGGAGCTCAAGGGAGCATTCGCAACCAAGAGAGTAGCGGTAGCTGGCTCGGACTTGCGGCTACATGTAGCCACCAGCTATTACCGGTAGTACCTACTAGACTAGTACCAGTTGGTTGCTATACCGGTACCGGTACAACCCAAAGCAACTTGGTGTGCATGAAATCTTTTTGAGTGCTCCTCCAAGATTGCCAGTGCAGGTCCTCGCGACTTCGGGATGGGCTTATTAAACAAAAGACCCAGTCAGGGATTCTCGTCACCTTGTCCATAAATCATCAAATAATTTGCTCTTGTCTGTTTCACTTTTTGAAATAGTGTCCAGTCTACGCAAAAAATGGCGATATATCCTGAGAACTCTCTGAGACCAACATGGTACAGTCGTGATGTCGTGATGGTACGAGTACTGCAAGGTCCGGAAACCCCAGTGATGTTTTGAAATTTTTCAAACAGTTTTAGTTTCTCATTTTTAGTTTTAGTTTCTCATTTTTAGTTTCTCAATTTGAGAAACTAACAGTTTTAGTTTCTCATTTGATAAAATAGTTTCTCATTTCTGGCAGAAATCACAACACATGTACTAGCAGTTTCATATATAGTTTCTCATTTCAAAAGATAGTTTCTCATTTCAACCAAATGAGAAACTAACTTTCTCATTTCAGAACTTAGTTTCTCAAATGAGAAACTACTTTCTCATTTGAGAAACTGTCAAAAAAGGATTGCAGTCTGGTTCCCGACCTTGCTGTACTAAATTGCCTACCGGTACCTGGTAATACTACTATGATAGCGCTACGCTACTCTGTGCGCTGGTACGGCCGAGCAGTGAAGGAAAAGCAATCTTGTGAAAACCAAGGCAAACAATCCCAACTCTGCTCACAATTTGCCCACAAACACACAATACAAACAAGTTATCCCATCAGCCAGTAATACCTAACTTGCTAGCACTTTCGCAAGCACCATGAGCCCTATCAACAACAACAAGAGCAATATGCGCCCCGACGGCAGCCGCAAGAGGTTACCAAAGAGAACCAGATCGCTGGACAAGACAAATCACTATCGCACAAAAATAATAGACGAAGAAGACCTTTACGTTGTAATGGTACCAGCAGCAGCACCAAGACCCAAGAAGAAGAGCGTTCGTTTCTCCGACACGGTTGCCATTGATGTTGCTACGGGAAAGGAATACGTCAAATCCCCTCGAACTGGATTCTCCTTTCTCGCTGACAAGCTCAGTAGTCGCCATAACGAAACCTGCTTTTGGAAACGAGACACCAATACTAAAACACGAAAGATCACTGCCATGGACGATGATTTTGATTATATTGGTTGGGCCGATGATATCATCAACAACAAGAACAACAATAATAAGTCATCCTCCAAGCCAAAACGGAAACTCGGCAAGAAATCGATTCTGCGTGGATGGAGCAAGCTGCATCACAAGATTCTTCCATTTACACCAGTGGCAGCTTGCTGAGTAAAAAAGCGAGAACCACTCGTACCACAAGCAATCGAACTCACTAACTACCCTATAGCTAGCTAGCCCGATTTTGTATCATCTCTAATTCTAACTACCTTTCACTGCTCCAATACCGTAGCCGTAGCTACCTTTCGCACCATCTTTCGGTTTGGACTAGTGTACGGTAGAAAGCCAACAAGCAGTGAAAAGAGACTACTCGTAGCTAGTAGTGGAGTCGAGTCTAATTATTCGGCTCTATGAAACGTTCTTGCTTTTTCACTGAGAAGTTTCTCTATAATCTAATATCTTCGCGTTTTTAAAATCTCATTCCACAGCACGGCGACTGCCGTACAAATCTATGCTGCGTGCTCTTTCATTTCATGGATCAGCTGGCTGGCTGGCTAGCTCGCACCTCTCCTTGATAATCGAATCGAATCATCAATCATTCGATGCTCTCGTGGAGGCACCCTCGAGCTGCTTCGGCCAGCTGGAGTTAGCTACAGAGGTGCGTGCCTTCCAATCGATGAGCGTGTCCCATTCGAAGAAGGATGCTATACCGCGATAGTTTGGCTGTCGCCGTCCATGGCCGCAATCCCCGAGAGACTCAAACTCCCTAGCAATCCCAGCAGTACCGATGCACTGAAACAAACGTTTAACAGATTGGTTTGTTTCAAGACGACATTATCGCTGGGATGCTCTTCCTCCTCCTCCTGATCCGCAGCACTAGCACTACGAAGTTGGGCAGTCGTTCTTGTAGTACTTGTAGTAGGACAGTATCGTGGTGCCAATTGGTATACCAAAGTGGTAATGAATCCCGAAGAAAAGGCAAACCCAAAGACGCCGAGTGTCATGGTAACATCGGATCGTGGAAGAAGGTTGGTGGTGTTGGTAGTATAGATGAAAAAGTAGGGTACAAACAAGAGTCGTAGGAATACCAATGCCATGAGGTACCAGAGTATCTTGTTACTTGATTGCAATTGTGGCAACCACAAAGTGGCAGGTCGAGAGAGCAAATCGGCAAAGAGTCGTGTGTAAAAGAGTACCTGTGGCAAACTTTCGCGATCGCTGGGCACGCGATTGAACCAGGACGCCACGGCCATGGAGCTAGCGACGGTCAAAAAGACGGCCAAACAGAGTGGCCAGGAATGCCACAGCAATTCTCTTGTGGACGGCATACGTAGTAGAGGCGACTCAAAGAGCAACAGTGGTTCCTCCAAACAGACTTGTTCTTCATCATTGTCATCATCGTCATGATTGTTGTCGTTAAGATCAAAACTGGAACTGGGACTGCAATCAGCAGACAGGAGGGTCTGACGTTGTTCATTGTCTATTGTAGTTGTATGGTTGTTGTTGTTGTGTTCGATGGTACTGTCCTGATCCAATTCATCCTCCGAGTCTTGTCCGAGTGCCGACAATTGAATGGAGGAATCTCTTCGTAGCATACTCCTGTATACATCTCTACTATGTGTCATGAGTCTTTGAAAACTCAACCAACACAGCGCCACTAGCACCGAGATGGTTCCATAAAAGTAGTAGAGCCAAGAAGAAGAGGAATTGTTGTTGTCATTATCATTCTGTTGTCGTTGAAATACAAGCGACACCATCAAGACGGCCACTGCCGATGCCTGTAATCCCGCCGTGACGGCTGCCGCGAGTCGTCCACATCCCGGATAGACAAAGCTTGCCATTTGTTTCAATGCCCCGTGCAGAATCCCCGACGCCGTGCCCAAACACAACGCCAACAATGTCGCCCACGTGAGGGATGACGACGCTTTGGCCATGCCCATGACACTCACCAGCATGAGTGCAAATCCAATACTGCCGCGGACTTGGAATGTTTTCAAACTGGAATACTGTCGATCGAATTCGGCATCCCACAGTGTTTGCGCCACAGTAATGGGAAACAGCGGCGCGTAAATGGCCAAATTCAAGTACAAGTACGAATTGACTCCCAGCGTGTCGGTATAGTAGACCAAATTCGACAAGACGGCCGTCCAACCAATCGTACAGCCAACGGCACTGGCAAAGAACAGCCATGTTTCTTCCAATCGAGCAGAAGCAAGACGGCGACTGGGGGATGACTGCTGTGTTGTCGACATGGTCTTGATCAACGTTAGTGTCTCTTGTTGATGTGGTTGTGGTTGTTCTTGTTGCTCCATCGAATGGTAGTAAACAGGTGGTGATGGCTCAAAGAAACGATACATACATCCACGAAACAAATACTATACAATAGCTTGAGCTAGTCTAGCTGTTTCTAATGCATTGCCACTTGTAGACAGCGTACTGGGAATAGCAACTAACTGGCCCAACCAACTTCCACCGTCACCATGCATTGTGCGTGTAGTCCCTCCTACACAGGACCGGTCAGTTTTTTCATCAGCATGATCTTCCCTTTCGCGCCGCGGCACTTTCCGGCCCCGTGACTCAGCAAAGAAGCCAGACAAGTTGATTGACAGTCCATTCATGCAGGAACCCTGCTGCCAGGCCCCACAAACTTGCCCCTCGTGATTGTCAGTAGACTACAGTACACAAACAAACAGACGAATGGAAAGCAATGCTGTTCCGGGCAATAGAGCGTACTACGGGAGCTAGCTAGCTAGAAAGAAAGACAGACAGACACTGCTTCATAGTTAGACAGCTCCTGCTTGAGCAGTCCCCACTTGCCACGGCATTTATTTTACCAGCAGATACATTGGTCCTTTAGTGGGGTCGTCACTCTCCACTCTCCAGGGTTCACAAGCCTCCCCAGTTGGCTGATCATTCCTTGGCAGTTCTTGATTCACCTTGTTAGTTAGGCTGCGTTGCCCCGTCTTCTTGGTGCCTGGCATGCTATGGTGCCCTGCACAGGGTGCTACTGTACCGTAGCTGTGGAAGCAATGGGTTCGAAAAAGCCTGGGCTCCTCGCTCTCAAGGACTTGCCATTCCAAAAGGCAGCATCAGGATCCACAAGTACCAAGTAAGTGAGACAAGATCAGCTCCACCTAAAAAAAACGAGGGAGCGAGGTATCCACCTTTGCTAATTTGGGGTGGTGAACAGGGAGGATACATGCATGTACTTGCTTTGAAGAACGCGTACGACAGAGGGACTTTCGATGGAAATTGGAATACAAAATGCAAAATCTTTTCGTTATACCGGTAGTATGCGATGTACAATGATGTTCTGACTGGAAGCAACTCATGCCTCATGCAGCTAAGCTCGAAAGCTGGGATTCTGAGACGGAGGAGGCGCTACTGGCTCGATGTCACTTGGGACGGCCACTGGAATGGAACCGTAATCGTTCTGCTTAGGCTGCTCCACCACTTCTGCCAGAGGTGCGCTTGCTTCTTGGCTAATACTACCAATATCGGTACTCATAGTAGTGCTTGGGGCGGCATTGTTGTGATAGACGTGATGATGCGTCTGAATGACCTGATACGAGGGGCGTTGCTCCCAACAAAGGCAGCGATAGCAGCAAGTGCAAAAGCAAATGACAACGGATGCGATAATGATCCAAAAGATCGTTTCATGGACGGTGTTATCCACGTCAATGTCGTGATTCCTCGCCCATTGCCTGACCGGGTTATTGTTGTTGTTGTTGTGTTGTTGTTGGCCTCGATGATGAATGGAAGCACAGAGCAAAAAATCGATAGGACACGCAGAGATGAGGACATCATGATTGTCAAACTTGTTGCTTCTTTTGCGCAGATGAAGTGTTGTGGTGGATGCTGTGATGATGAGATTTTATTTTTGGTGGAGGAACGTACAGTCGCCGCATCCAAGCCAAAAATACATATCGTACCCGTACCAACGCAAAGCGCGAAGGACGTCCTACTAAATGTAGTACTTCCACCGCGACGAGAGCCAATGAACTTGCCTGCTATCAGACATCCAATTTCCCCATGAAACATGACGGTTGCTATCCAGAACCCAAAAGCTTGAACTTTTAGCATGCTACGGTAGCTTTTACCAGTACATGTACTTCAATAACTAAATAGAATGGCACGTACCACTACCAGTACTGCGTACAGTCGTACCGGACCCTCCATGTACCGACACGCAGGGGAGTGGCACAAATCAACTTCAATCATGTTTTCCCGCATCATTGCTGAAAGTTTTTGGCGGCCTGGAGTGGTAAGAGACGGCAGAAGGCGGTAAAAGGTGGTACGTAAAGCATACAACAGGCGGGATAACAGGCGGTAAAGTGCAAATCAGGCGGTAAATAAGGCGGTAAATCAGGCGGTTGAAGGTGGTGGAGGTTGGTTGAAGAGGGTGAAAGTCGGTGGAAGGTGGTAAACATTGCTGGCAGGAGTAGCAAAGGTGTTGCCGGAAATAGTCAGTTGATTTGAGCCACCCCCCAGCGGATCTTTGTGTCGTGTGTGCTGAAACATGCAATCTGTCGTCCAGTGCCAGTTTCATTCTGCCCGCTTTGCCGGCTTCCCGTCAACTCGGACGGCATCAAAAGCAGCAACCTCAGTGAGCCTACTAAGCGCCTGGTTGTTGTACCCTACCGTACAGAGAAGTCTAGCATGGCTGATAGTCTGCAGCTGTGGCATACGATGGGATACAAGTTCCATTGTGCTCTACTAGTGGTAGAGCACTCTATGTATGATCTACACCATGAGAAAAGTGGAGGCTTGCTCCAGAAGAAGAAAATCAGTTCCCATCGCCTTCAGAAAAAGCCTTCAAGGCAGTTTCTCGCGGGATTACCTATTCTACATGTACTGGTACTGATGGCTGTGTGGAGCTCCTGCATCTCCACGGTTGCCTGCTTTGAAGTCTCTAGTCGTCTGATGTCATCCAGAAAAAGTAGGACTTGCAGAACCTACCGCTACCAATACCAGCACCTGTATCACCACCTGTACCAGTCCACACACAGAGCCAGAGTGGGTAGCATTGCAGGTGGTACATCTATGCATCCTTCTAGTGTTCTATTTGCATATCCATCTCCACAACCATCACAGGATAAACCCACACAAAAAAGGTCCAATGGAAGACACCAAAGACACAACCAAAACAAGGGGAACTTATTCCAAAGGGGGAGAAATAATGGAGCGCATCGGAGTACCTCTTCTGCAGCTAGTTTCAACCAGTGGCTACAGCAAACAATCAAATCTACCAGCACAACAAAGGGCACCACAAACCCAGCAGCCAACATGGAAATGGCAGAAGAGGCATTGTGGCAAAGAGTGCGCTCGACAAACAGAAGGTCATACAACACAATATCATTCAATATTGTGTTGAATGGATGGGCCAGACAAAGATCCAAATACGCAGCACAACGAGCTGATGAACTGCTACATAAACTCTTGGAATTGCAGCAGCAGCCATCACAGTACCATCTTCAGGCAGACACGTACTCGTATGGGGCCGTGCTGAATGCCTACGCCAAGAGCCAAGGTGGAAAAATGGCGGCTTTGAGAGCCGAAGAATTGCTCCTACAAATGCAGGCTTCCATGGTTCCCTCATCATCATCCAAACAAGCAACAATCAAGACTGATGTTTGTCACAATGCGGTAGTGGATGCTTGGGCCGTCAGTGGGGATCCACAGGCCGGAAGTCGAGCCGAGAGTATTCTTCGCAAACTTGATCAGCCATCCAGAGTGACCTACAATGCCTGTATCAAGGCATATGCGCGTGCCCATGCACCCACCCAAGCACAGCGATTGCTCGAGGAAATGAAGGCCAGCAATAATACAGACCTGGAACCCGACAAAATTTCCATTTCCACCTGTATTGATGCATGGTCCAAATCCCCATCCACCGAAAACCTGACTTTGGCGGCACTGCAGGCCGAGAAACTACTCTACCAAATGGAACAGGATTACGAGCAGTTGCTCTTGGAGAGAAACGCCACGACCACGACAACAAACCATCAAACTGTTCGTAGATCTTTTTCCACCACAAAAAGACAAAACGAACGACAGCAACATTCAGTATTACATGCCAGTTCTAAGCAACCCGATATTGTCACGTACACGGCGGTTCTGAATGCATATGCACGAGCAGGATGGCCCGGAGCTGCGGAAAAGGCAATGCAATTGATTCGACGAATAGAAAAGTATTCAAACGACAAACCAAATGCACCCTTTTTCAATACAATGATCAATTTGTTGGCAAAGAGTATTTCGGCACGGCCCTACCTAACATTCAATAACAAGTCCTCCTTGACTCCACAGCAAGTGGCAGAAGTCATTCTTCGTCACATGAAAAAACAATATGCAGAGACTGGTAACAGGGATATCCGCCCCTGCAAGATTACTTACACTGCAGCAATTTCTGTTTATGCAAGCCATTACAAACATGGTGTGGCGGCGGCTAAACGCACTGAGGAACTGTTACACGAACTGGAGCATCTGTACAACACGACAAACTTTGATCATTACTTGCCCAACACCAAGACGTTTGGGGCCGTGTTGAGCGTATGGGCCAAGGCTGCATCCACCACACGCCATGAAAACGACGACGCAGTCTCGGCAGAATGGCTGTGGCACCGATCCGAGTCTCTTCTGGAGAGGATGGAATCTTTGTACAAACGTACACAGGGGCGATATGAGGAGCTCAAGCCTACATCCATTCTGTTTAGTCAAATATTTCGAATTCTGGCAAACGGGCAAGATCCTCATGCTGCCACTCGTGGGCTCAAGCTCATGAAGAGAATGAAAGCCATGAAAGCTGACAAGAACAACAGTGGATTCGGGGATCAAATACACTTGGACAGCACCATGTATGCATACTTAGTGGTGACATTTACCAAATCAAAAGTGGAAAACTCTGTGGAATTGGCAACTCAAATACTGCAGGAAGTGGAAGAAGGCTACAAAGCGGGCATGGGAAATCTCAAGCCAACAAGTCTGTTGTACAGTGCAGTTCTTCAGGCATACGCCAAGAGTTCATCCAAAGAAGGGGCAAGATTGGCAGAACATTTGCTCGAAAGAACAAAGGAAATGTACAAACTGGGGAAGATCTATGCAAAGCCAACAACTTTGTTCTACAATGCGGTTGTGGATGCCCATGCCCGATCCAATGGGGGGATAGAAGCTGCCGAACGAGCTGAAGCGCTCTTGCAGGAGATGGAACAACGCGGACGAGCGGGTGACTCGGAACTGCGTCTCACGACGAGAAGTTTCAACGCTGCCATTTTGGCGTGGAAGAACAGCAATGCCACGGACGCGCCCCAACGAGCTGAGGCGCTACTTGGGAAGATGAGTGAAAAGTACAAGGCCGGAGACGAACGCTGCCGGCCTGACCGGGTGACAATCAACTCCATCATTGGCGTCTGGGCCTCACAGAGCCCTTATCAAGCGGACTCCGCAGAGCGAGCGGAGAAGTATTTGAACTTCATGGAGAGCCTCCAGAAATCAGGTGATCCGATTATTAAGCCAGATCGATACAGCTACAACACTGTAATCGATGCCTACTCCAAGAGTCCAAAAAGTGGAGCTGCAAGGCGTGCTCAGGATCTCTACGAACGGATGAAATCCATGGTTGACGAAGAAGGAGCAAAGGATCTGCGACCTGATCTCATCACGCTCACTTCGCTGAGGTATGCTTGGATGGCCAGCAACGATGCGGATGCTGACGTTCGTAGTCGGCACATTGGAAGCTTGATTCTTCAGGAAGTGGGCCGACAAAAGAAGCTGAAAGTTGCTAGTGCTTCCACATTCAGCTAAGGAACTGGGTGGGCCTGTGGTGCCATGCTACTCACTGAAGGAAACCGTTGGTGTGTTGGATGCCAACCACTCTGTCGTTCCTCTATGCTAAGGCTCTGGACAACGTCGGATGCAAGATGGCTCGCATTGCGCAACCCTTACCCGAGAAACTTTCAGATTCGATTCTTCGAGCTCCACGTCGTCAGCACCAAATGAAAATCAAAAAGAAGCTGCAATGTGGCCATGTTCTGTGCGCCCGTTGCTTTCTTGAGTGGAAAAGAGCAGGCAAGATGGATTGTGCCTTGTGCCGAATGAAGGTAACGGAGGGTCATTGGGCGTGTGAAGCAATCGTTTTCAGAAAACAAATTCTGCACCTCTGGAACACGCACCTCGGTGGAAAACAATTCTGCACGTCGAGGGCACGCACCTCGGTGGCAATCAATTCTGCACCTCCAGGGTGTGCACCTCGGTAGCAAACAATTCTGCGCCTCTAGGGTGTGCACCTTGGTGACAAACGCTCTGCACCTCTTCAAAGGCAACCCAGGTGCCGTGCGCGTGAGCTCCAAAGTCGGGGCTGGGATCGACTGTGAAGCAATCTTTCACCAATACTGAGAACTTTATCACGGGTGTTCCTGGTGCAGTAATAGTAGAACTCTTCTTCCCTTGCCTCAAATCCCTTGCACTAGATTTCACCAATATCTCCAAGAATCTGGCAACTCATCTGTCTGACCAAAGTCCTTTTTTGGAATGGAGGGAATTGATCCGGGAAATGCAGTTCTCTGTCAGTTTTTTGCTGGCTTCTCAGCAAGCTCTAACCTCCGTGCGTTTCCTAAAACACCTTCCCTCGGGAAAAACTTCATCTCCCCTGGTGTGAGCGCAAGATGAGCCATTTGGCCGCCAAACTTGCTAAAACCGCATTGAATGATTCGATTCGATTCATTTCCTTGGTTTCAGTCCGCCCCCGAGCCTCAATTTCGTCTCCCGGAGACGACTTGCTTTAGGGGTAAGGGTACTGTTGGGGGCAGAGGTTTGAATTATACCCGGCGTGCAATACTTAGAGGCCTCTGTAGAAGTCTACGTATTTGACTAGTATTGTATTGACGGGATACAGTCAACGCATGTACATGCACATGAAAGTCGCCTCGCTTTTCACACAAGTTTCGCATGAATGAGCGAGGGAGCTGCATGAAAGTCGCCTCGCTTTTCACACAAGTTTCGCATGAATGAGCGAGGGAGCTGTTTCGGTTTCGGGGCGAAGCAAGAAAGGGATGAGCGCGCGGAACGCGCGAATACTGTTTCAGGTGTTGGTAATAAAAGATTTATGGAAACGGAGACGACCCAGGGGGCGTATGAATCATCCTGTGTGCTTCGGTACCGTACCGTTACGGTGCGGTAAATTCCAGCTCTGCTGGTTGCATAGTCAGTCTTGAGAGCGTCGACAAAAAGTCGTGCCACACACGGATCAAAAGAGATTTGAGAAAACAAGACACTTCTCGTACGACCTGTGTCTTTTATGCCGTGCTAACCAGCAAATGATGGGGCGGTGCGTCCTCTTTTCTTTTCTGGAAAAAAGCCAGATCTGACAACAATATCGATTTTGGTACATAGCCATGAAGGTCAGCGGCGTTCAACTCGTAGCCGTGGTGGCGGCGAACCTCCTCTTGCTTTTTTTGGAGTCGGCGGTATCTCAAACAGCGAATGTTACTACAGGTGGTCCTGGTCCAGGCGGTGATCCTGGTCAAGGTGGTCCTGTTCCAGGCGGTGGTGCGAATGCCACTGCTGTCAGACCCCAAAACGGTACCATCCCGGCCAATGGCACTCTTCCTCCTCCTCCTGCAGGAGGGGGAGGCGGGATTAGCGGAGGAGGAATTTCCGGTCCTGAGGTAGCAACGCCGTGTTCTGCCTTGGCAGATCCTACCACAGTGGACTGTTTGACTTGCTTGGAAGCCAACTGCACGTGGCACAACGATGGCATCTGTAACAATGCGTGTACTTTTATCCCCGGAAATCCCTGCTATGATCAACCCTTGTTCCCTGGAGAATCGGCACAAGCCATTTGTAGCATTCACGCGAGAGATTCGGTAGAACGAGAGCATTGCATGGAAGTGGGCGGTGGTTTCTGTCCTACCTGTGTCGCTACTCCTTTCCTGGCAGATCCCAACAAGACTTGCGTTTGGTATCAGGGACGACAAGAATGTCGCATTGGAGGCCGCGATTGTTTCTTCCCCGGTTGTGGCTCGGACACATGCCCACCCACTCCCGTGCCCGCCGATACTCCCGTGCCCGCTGAAACACCCGTGCCTGCCGAAACACCAGGACCATCAGACGGTACTCCGGTACCAGTTCCAGCCGGAGGAGATGGAGACCCAGGAGATATTGATTGTGCAGCCTTTCCTGCCGGAGGCGAGGCAGTAGCCACTTGCCAAACCTGTCTGGAAGCGGGATGCTCGTGGACTATTGACAATTGCTACAGTTTTTGTGCTGTGGCTGATGCTCCCTGCTACAACCAAGAAAACTTTGAAGGACAGAGCGTGGTGGATATTTGCACGGCTTTCACAACTGATCAAGAAAACTCCAGAATTTGCAGTGCAGCCCAAGATTGCGGCTCTTGCGCCGATATAGCACAAACGGGTGGAGTGAACAAGACTTGCGAATGGTATCCTGGTAGCAGCTATTGTGGAACTGGTGGCTGTACATTGATTGGATGTGGAGAGACCGATTGCAATAATTTTACTCAGAATGTCTGCTTGACCGCTGAAGCAGGCGGCGATGCCACCTGCACGGATTGTGTCGATGCGGGGTGCGCTTTCTTTGGAACCGGTGCTTGCTACATAAATTGTGAGGTGCTGCAGGATGCCCAATGCTACAGTTCGGAAGCAGGTGTGGACGCCGTGACCACTTCCGATGTTTGTATGTCATATGAAATCAATTTGCAAAACAGTCAAATCTGTGAAGCCGCCTCCGATTGCGAATCTTGTCTGACCACTGTGAAATCTGATGGTAATACCACCTGCGAATGGTATCCCACTGCGGGAACGTGCGGTCGTGGCGGATGCGGTTTGCTTGGGTGTGGCGAAACGACTTGCGAGGAAATGACGCCGGCGCCCATTCAAGATGATGGTGCAGCCGTCAATGCCAGTATCCCCATTGCGTGCAACACTACTGCTCAATGTCCAGAATTAGAGTTCTGTGCGTCCAAATCTGGCTACTGTATACCGATGAACTGTTCCAATTGGATTGCCGACGTCCCAGCAGGAAACATCTCCTACAGTGAAGCTCCTTGCCTTATTGAAGGTGCTGAAATAGGTGAGGCCTTTTGTGGTTATGATGGTTCTTGCTATCCATACAATTGTGAGAACTGGTACAAGTTTGGCCCAGTTGCATTCACGGGCTATGATGTCAACAATCCTGTGAATTTGACCTGTGCTGAACTCGACCCGAAGGAGAGCGCTGAAAAGAATTTGAATTCTGTTGTATTTGGTTGCCGTCCCTACCAACCTGGAAGCAAGGCGCCCGAAGCAAAGACCTGGACGTTTTTCTTCAACTACGAATGCAAGTCCACCCCACGAGGCAGCGATGAGTTCAAGTGCTATGAAAATCTTCCCACCACAGACTACCGTGACTTTCTGGGCGATGTCGCTCGTATCAATCAGGGCTCGTGTGACCGGGAAATCTATACTGAAAATGAACAACCTCTCTACTGGTACATTGTTCAGGGGCGGCAAATACGCCCGCCGAAGGAGGGGGAAGACCAGAACGAGGTCATCAACTACAAACAAGGACGAGCAAATACGGCCAGTTCAACCTCCTTTGATCAAAGTGAAGCCGAGAGAACCATGTACGCAGTGCTTACCAGCGACGATGCTCCCCCAGCAGGATCAGCCTCCGACTTTCCGGGAGCAGATGGCAATTCTGCAGCGTTCTCGAGGATGGGTCTTGGCCGATTGGCATGCCTGTGGTTGTCTGTGGTTGCTTCCATTTTATTCTTCTGCTACTAGAGGCTTTGCATGCATTGGATGTTTCGCTTTGTTAACTAGCCAGTAAAAGTTTCAGTGTTCAAGTTGTTTAATTTCTATTGTACAATGTACGGCTATTGTGATTTATCTCTGCCTTCTACGAAAGCGATGCAAGGACAAGCGAAACGACCCGAAGATGTCGCGGCAACGGATGGATCTACCCCCTTGCAAGCTCCGTCCTTGCTTGCAACAAATTCAACCTTGATGTTGCGCCCCATTTCTCGTACGATTCTAAGGCCAAACTGTAATGATGCCTGGCACCATCTTGGTCACCATGCCTGAGAAAATGATCACCGAATCGTTCCTGTGCTAGACCGTAGTCGTTGGCTAAGCCAAGACGTCCCGCTAGCATGATGGCGCAATCATAGTGCTTCGAAGCTACAATGAGTGGCTGCCTACTGCTGCAAGAGGCAAGCTCGGCTTCCAACAAAGACTCGTAATGCTGTACGTTCGGATTCCCCTTGTTCACCCACTCCTTCAACTTCTTGAGGATTTTCTTCGCTTGCTGCTTGTGGGGTCGATGTTTCTTCTTGTCTTGGTGAACGAGAGAGAGACACGACAGGGCACAGTGAAAGTAGACAACGCCGATACCGTTGGTTGCCGGAGTTGCCTTCTCTATAGAAAACTTGTGGTAGCCACATTCCTCCATAAGCTGCACAACCCGCTCGTGATCGTCAAACCAGAATGCTGCCGTAGTCTTGATACGGTTCAGTAGTACCCCAAAGTGCGCGTACGGTTCGGTTCGTTGCTTGAATTCCTCCTCGTCCATTGTGCTGCCCGTGAGGATGGCCCCGTTGGACTCGATTCTCGACAAGTTCTCTGCGAGTTGCCAAACAGGCGACAGGCTCCAACCTATCATCTCTTGACCGTAACTGTCGGTCCGGTGTGCATATGCTTTGCAGTCTTCCAAGAGCAGTTGTAAGTTCCTTCCTGTATGGAATTGTGCCTCCAGAGCACAATATCCGGCATAGAAAGCTGACTCCAAATTGCCAGACTTGATGCCGGTTTCCAAAGCTTCGTTTAGACGTCGAATACAAACGTGATTGGGCGTTTGATAATGATAAACAAACTGATAGCACATGAAATAAGTTTGAGCCTTAACACTGGGTGTCATGTACTTGATGGCAAGATCAGCATACTTCTTGGCACCAGCGAAATCACTGAAGGACCCTGCCAAAATCAGGGCAATGGTTGCGAGAAGAGGTGATGTCGTTTCGGCTCTGCCATGCTTCACTGTCCAATCAAGCGCTTTGGTGATAGCGGGCGGGAAGAGACTAGCATCACACTGGTAGCTGTACGACGCCAATCGATCAAGCAAGTAGATTCCCCACTTCTTCTCCTCATCTTCCATGGGTTTCAAACGCTCCAACTTGCCTATTGTCTTGTCCACCGTCATGGACATGCTGACGATCCCTGACATTGACAACAAGCCTCTTCCAAGCTTCGGAGGTTTGTATCCAATCTTGCTGAGCACTTTCAATACCAAATCTGTGGCTTCGGCCATTTTAGCCTGCGAGGCCAGAGAGTGAATTTGAACATTGTACTGAAGTGGGCAGAAAGAAGGTTGAGAAAAAAGGATAACCAAGCATTCCTCAAGAGCAACGGTACAGTACACTCACCAATCGTCGCTTCTTCAGCAAGGGAAGGCTTGGTTGAGCCAAGACCTCATCACAGAGTTCCTTCACTTGCTCATGGCAACCAATGCAATATTGTGCCTCCGCCGCCGTTGCGTACAGTGCCAAGGAAAGATCCAGATACGTGGGTGCCCACCTTCCCTGTTCGGCAGGGAGTAGTGCGATACCGTGTTTCAGATACTGAGCCGCGCCGTGGGATGCCGACGACCTCATCGAAGACTTGCCCGCATTCAAATTCAGCTTTGCAAATTCCACTCGCTTTGGATTATCCTTTGCCAGCAGATGTGCTCTGGAGTTCAACAAATTGACAATTACAAAGGATGCTTGTGGATTGCTTTCAAGCTCTTGCTTGGGGACTCTTTCTAAGAGGGCTTGGCCTAGACCATACTTGATGTGATCAAGCTTGTCTTTGTTTTCGACGAGCAGAAATGCGGTTTCCTTGACCTTGTCGTGGCTCCACTCCCACGTTGTGTTGCCGCCACAATCAACAATGAGGCCCTCTTGTTGGCACGTCAAGAGCACGTCGATTATGCTCTCATTGCAGTTAGAGTGTTCATCGCACTCCTGCGTCACGTGGTCCAGGACCAAATGAGCCGTTGTAGTAGCGAAACGAGGCCCAAGGCAAGCCAATCGAGGAAGAACAGCTTGTATGAGAGGGGAGAGCTTTCGGAGTTTCTTAGTCAGTAGCGTGAGGACATTGTCCGTCGCCTGAGTGGCCTTTTGGATGTGAGACACGTCAAACACCCAGCTGTCCGATTCGGAGTTGAACATCAAGAGTCCATCGGTTTCCAGCGAGGCAAGGAATTGCTTCAAATAGAATGGATTTCCCGCTGTCTTGCTATGAACACATTCAGCCAGAAGCTTCATGTTTCCTTCGTCTTCTCTGCCCTCAAGAAGACGTTTCAACAGATCCTCCACGTCTTCTTCGGATAGCCCTTCGAGACGTATGTCCGTCATTTGCAATTGGCTGTCTGCCGCTTGCTGCTCCTTGAGAATGCCCAAAAACTTGGCAAAACGATGATCCGCATCCACTTCATCGTCTCGATAATTCATGAGCAGCAGTATGGACGACTGTGCTCCTTGATCATCGTTCTTGAGCAAGCATTCAAGAATGTCCAGCGAGCCTTGATCTACCCACTGCAAATCTTCCAAGATGAGCACTATAGGCGCCACAGAGCAAACGAACCGAATGAATTGTTTGAATGCATGTTGGAAACGGCTCTTCACTTCCAAGAAATTGATGCTGCCATTTGAAAAGCCGTCTCCTCCTCCTCCGACAATAGTTTGCAGACTGGGCATGAGCGCCAGCAAGAGGTCGATGTCATCATTGTTGAGTGACTCCCGCATACGATGAGGCAAATCGCCATAGTCATTGGCATCATCGCGCATCCGTATCAGTAGCGTCTGACAGAGCATTTCGCAAGCTTTGGCAATGGCAGAGTATGGTTCGGCAGCATCTCGCGGTACGTCATCAAACTTGCCCGTGACACACAAGCCTCTATTGTCATTGTCGTTCTGCTGCAGGAACTCTTCTACTTTTTTGGAGAGAACCGACTTGCCCGTACCACTTTCTCCACGTACCGTCACCACGTCCTTGGTCGGGGTCGGCTCCAGGAAGCTGTGAAAGGCACCGCTTAGGAGTGCCACCTGTGTCTCCCGCCCGTAAAGATGTCCCAAGGAATCCAATGCCAGCTTTTGGTGCGTATCAATCCGTGTTTTGTTTCCTGGGGTACGCGTTTTGTCAGCAGCCTCTGGAAAGCCCAAGAGAGGAAACGAAGTCCGGTCCAAACCATGACTGGAAGTAGTGCTGAATTCCGTGCTCGCCGCCATGGGCTGTACATCAGGAATGGGTTCTGCCGTGACAATTTCCGCACTTTGCTGCTGTTGACCTTGTCGGAGTTCCTCAAGCTCTCTCTTGAGTCGATCAATCTCCTGTCGAGCAGCTTCAGACTCGTTTTCATCGACTAGCTCGGCGACAACGGCAGGCAGCTCACCTCTACTATCGGTTGGTGTCTCTTCACTCTCTTCTTTGGTGGTAACCGAGCCGGATGATGAAACATCGTCGTCACCAGTGCTAGCAAAGCTCGCACTGCTCGACCTCCGTTCCGGTCGTACACTATATGCTCCAGCCGCCGCCTCGGATGCGGCCGTCACATCCCTCTGACGTCCCAACGAGGGAGGAGCAGGAAGTCGCTGCTGCAGCACGACACCTGTGCCGCACTTTTCCTTCTTGTGTTTCAACTCTTTTTCCTTTTCGTCTTTGTCTTTGTCCTTCTTCTGCTTCTTCTTGTTCGCGGCGTCATTGCCGGCGAGTCTTCTACTACTGTGCCTACTATGATGGCTATGGTTGTCGTCATCCGAATCGTCGCCATTGCAGGTGGTCAGGTACTCCAACACATCCTCTGGCAAATTGCCACCGCTACCACCATTCAACCCTTCATCTGTTTTCTCCATGGTACCTCTCTCTGATCGATTGACTGATGTATGCTACTACTAGCTAGCTAGCCAGCACTATGATAGGTCTGTCAACCTCTTTGCTTGCTCTCCAAACCGTCTGTGTTCTAATCTTTACCAAAGAATGGGAAAGGTGAGGACTGTACTGGAGCGAGCTTTAGTCTTTTGAAGTGACTTTTCATTAGTTCTGGCGTGTTCGGGGGCTTCATTTGTTAAAGCGTTTGTAAATCTTTAGGAAACATTATTGAAACCATTGAATACCAGAATACCAGTTGAGAGCCCCTGAAACGCACGCGGTTGTATTATACGTATAACATTTTCACTATGTATTCTACAGATCATACGTATTACACATGTAACCTTTTTAATATGTATTAGACAAGTCATACGTACAACACAAGTAACACAAGTGGAAACATATTATACGTATTACATATGTATTATGTGTTGTACGTTTCTACGTATAATACATAGTGACGAATTTTTGCTAAGTTTTTTTGCCAGGTGTTTTGCTAGGTGTTTGGGAGGCAGAGAGGAAGATGCACTGTTGCAGGCCATAATACCTGACAGCTTATCAAAGTAAAATGGACTCTTACCTATCTTGAACTCTCTCATTGTGATACATATCAATGTGGTTCTCTCTCGTTTCCCC